TGACAATCTACAGCTTCCAGAGCGAGAAAGATAATTTATTTTATAAAAAGAGTAATAGGCTCAAGATAGAGAGCAAGAGAGACGTAATCCTGCCTTGTAGAAAGCATTAGTGAGACCTCATATTGAATATGCAGCTCCGTTTTAGGCACAAGTTCACAAAAAGGATGTTGCACAACTGGAGAGTGTACAGAGAAGGGCAACTAAATTATTAAGGGGCAAGTAAAAGCTATTAGGAAGGTTAACTGAAATTAAAGCTCAAGTTTAATCTGGTTATATTCACCATTCCTGGTTCTTCATTTTCCCCTTATCAGCTTGCTAATGTTTTTTTTTTTTTCAATAAAAACTTTTGGCTTCCATTACAAACTTTATTTTAGACCCAGTGATGTCATCACTGTGCCTCTGTGCTTCTGTATGCCACGCAGATAGATCATAGAGGGTAGGAGGAGCCAGCCAGGTGCTGTACATACCACCCTGCCTCAGTACTGCTCTCAAGAGCAAGGGATGCATGCAATGGGTTGGCTTTTGGGAAGAGTTATGCCAATATCAAAAAGTCTTGATGGGTGGATGTTGGTCTGGGGTAGTGAGCCTTCCTAGGCAGAATACATTTGCGTGGAGACCGTCTTAGGTAACATCCACATATAATGAGCCTCCATGATTGAAAGGATGAAATACAATAAATGAAAGGGGCAGACCAGGGATAGTAAGGCTAGACGGTAAAGAGGTAGATGTTGGATGACCTCCACTCAATGAGGTGGGCTATATTTGACTTCCTGCAGGTACTAATGCATACTGTCAGAAGCTCAAAGTGTGCAGTGAAATCAGTGTAAGCAAATTCAGGCTGAAGTTCACATCGAATTGAGGCAATTCAGGAAGGTATGATCATCTATAAATGCAAAAATGGCCCCTATGGAAAGTTGTTCACCTACAGGTCATTGAAAGAGACAAGGGGGGGCATTCTTTGAGTTAAAAGCTCAACTCTAGTCTTACCTTCAGTTTTACACAGTTGTACAGGCTCTTCCCTTATCGCTTGTTTCCCCAACATTCAACGCTCCCTTCTATCCTCAAATACTCCCTATTATGGACAGATCTTTGTTTTTCTTACTTACAATGATGGTCCTCCATTGTACGTGATGACGTCACAGAGTGCTAAAGAGAAGAGGCTTCAGGGGAATGATCACATGGGAGTAGGAACCGGAAGGAGTGAGTGATAAGGTACAGTAAGTAAAATTGCTTTCAATTGTACCCTAGGCAAATGTGGTTATTTTTTTTTTGTTCCATAAAAGTTTATTGATAGGTGACAGCATAATACAAGGAAAGTACACACAAAGCACCAATCAGGGAATGTAAATATCATAAACAAAATATAGGAAAAAACAAGGCAGAATGCGGCACTGTTGGTAACATAAACATGTCAGGTCACGGCCATAATAGGCCTGTGATACTCAGGCGGCACTATAATGCGATATGGAGGATAACAGCAGTGTATCCCCATCAAGTACGTGTCAGCATGTTAATCTGTACATGGGGGAGTGTAACATTCAATGCCTACCCCGAAAGCAGTACGCCATCTTGAAACGAGGAAAAGCTCAAAGTGTAAATGTGGATGTCGTGAATACCACTGACGAACATATAGGAGCTAGACTATCCGCATACCAAGTATTCCATAAACGATAACCAAAAATGACTAAACCTGATATATGTACAGAAGCCTGTGTAAGAGAGAAGAGAAAAGGAAGAGAAAAAAAAAACAGAAGAGAGAAAAAAAAAAAAAAAGGGGGGGGGGGGAGGAGGAAGTGAGGGGAATGAGGAAAACAGTAGGTTGGGGTGAGGAACAGGAGGCGGGAGCTGCGGCGTTTGTGTCAACGTTCATACAATAGGTCATAAATGAATGTGTCTGAAATCTATACTAGCGCCAATGCTAAGCAGTCAGGTATAATTCACCGAAAAAAGGTCATTACCATCCAGTCCATGCAATACAAAGGTCGATAATTTATTTTCCAAAGTTCAACTTTAAAAAAAGAATTCGAAGATTTTTTTAACTTTTGTATGTACTGTAGCATTATAGTGAAGTCAGTCCTTTTATTTGCTTTTTCTGGTCAAATATAAAGTGAATTATACAATACTTTGTCAACAGGAAAAATGAGGTGCTCCCTTCTGTATTTTTTTTATTTTAAAACATATTTATTGAGGTTTAAAATCAAATGCAATTGATGGACATTTCAAAAGCGCAAAAAGTTGACACTAATTGTAGGAGAGGATATGCAAAAATCCATTGAAGTAAGTTACATAGGCCGGTGTATAAAAAGCAACTTCCATGTTCTTTAATCAGAAATTCAAATAAAAAATAAACCACAGAAGCACGTGTGGAAACGATCAAGAAAAAAGCAATTGCGGGTCCGATCAAACATTTAGAGTGGAGAGGGAAAAAACTGAATAAAAAAAATCAATGCGTGTCTAGTAACATTACTCACCCTAACCTGCTAGGGCTGCCATGGTAACATGCAAATGACATGAAAGCTCAAAGATCTATGGTAGGCTTTAAACTGGACACTTCTGAAATGTGCTGAGACCTCCAACACCAAAAGGCATGCATTAATCTGATTTGTGTTGTATGTCCTGTATTGTATTTTTGTAAATACTTCACATGAATTGCCTCAATAGCAAAATGTAGGTAAAGTCACTACTGCAGAAAATACAGGACTTTTCCCCAACACACTAAAGCCATGGAAACTCGCCCCAAAAAAAGATGGAGTCACCCACTTCCACCCTGCTGGGGTAATTCTCAGTATCTGTTCCTATATGTATGAACAATGTACAATACTACTTCTCTTCTGTATGCTGCATGTAGTTATTAGTATCTGTTTCCTAATGTATGAACAATGTAAACAATACTCTTCTCTTCTGTATGCTGCATGTAGTTATTAGTATCTGTTTTTCCTATATGTATGAACAATGTACAATACTACTTCTCTACTGTCATTGCTGCATGTAGTTATTAGTATCTGTTCCTATATGTATGAACAATGTACAATACTACTTCTCTTCTGTATGCTGCATGTAGTTATTAGTAGTATCTGTTCCTATTGGGAATAAATGGCAGTTGAAATAGTGGCATTTCTATTCTGTATGCTGGATGAATTTCTCGGTAATTTGTTCCCCCCCCTCCTCGGTATCGTTTTATTACAAATCGGCAATTCAGCGGACCAAATTTTCGGTATTCGGAAAATTGGATGTATCACAATTGAGCCAAATTTCAACAAATCTGAAATAAATTAAAACAAAATGAAGTATCAGGAATTAGAAAATTAGTTAAGATTTGAAAATTAACTTAAAGAGGAGTTCCACTCAAAAGTGGAAGCTCCGCGCTTGTTTGCCTCCTCCCCCCTCCACTACCATATTTGGCACCTTTTGGGGGGGGGGGAGCGGGTACTTGTTTTTGACAGGTAACCGCTCCCACTTCCGGGTCAGTTCGTCGTGGCGAAGTTCGGCCCCCTCCTTCCTCCCGCAGTCTCCTGGGAACCTTCACAGGTCCCAGAAGACTGCTGGACCAATCAGAATGCGCAGCGCGGCTCGTGCATGCGCAGTGGGCACCCAGCTGTGAAGCTGCAAGCTGTCACAGCCTGGTGCCCACAGTTGTAATGCTGGCGCAGAGGAAGAAGAGGCAGAGAAGGGACAGTGGCACGGGTGAGCACGTTGCTGGACCCCGAGACAGGTTAACGTTGCTTTTGTTAAAAAGTCAGCAGCTACAGTTTTTTTTGTAGCTGCTGACTTTTAATCAACACAAAACTGACTGGAACTCCCTTTATATTGGAAAAATAATTTGGATTCAAAATAGAAACAATTGCAATAAAATACAGTAAGGTATTTAGAATAGAATAGAAAATAAAGGAATAGAATGAAAAAGAATAGAAGAGAATATAAAAAAAAAATAGAATAGAAAATAAAAGAATAGAATAAAATATAATAAAATAGAATAGAATGGAAAAATGAAAGGAATAGAATTAGAAAATAAAAGAATAGAAATAATAGAATAGAATAAAAAATAGATTGCAACAGAATAAAATAGAACGTCTTCGAATGAAATTTGAATTTTGAATGGATTTGAAAATACAAAACTAATTAAAAAAAAAAAACAATCATTCTAACATATGAAAATGATGAAAGGAAATTATTAACTTATCTAACAAATATGAAATTAAACAAATTTTTTTCCTTCATGCACATCTACAGTATAGATCAGTGTACATTCTACAGAGGATTACACACAGGCAGGTACGTATATTTTAGCTACAAAAGAGACACAGAATCTGCTGTAGCTGTGCATAGTAACCAATCAGCCTCCAGGTTTAATTGTCAAAGCCTATTTACAAAAGTTAGAAGCTGATTGGTTACTATACACAACTGCACCAGATTCTCCAGAGTGCTCCTTAGTTAGATTCTCTTAGTAAATCTCCCCCACTATGCATGCATGTCCTTTTTCTGCAATAAGGAGCATTCCTGATCACATTTTTTTTAGTTCTGCTTTAAAACATACATTTAAATAACATTTGTTGTGAAGAGATTTAAGCTTAAAAGTGTTACTAAACCACGGAACCCTGCATTCACTATATCTGGTCTCCCAAGGGACCCTGCATCACTATAATCCGGTCTCCCAGGACCCTGCATTCACTATCTCTGGTCTCCCAGACCCGCATTCACTATATCTGTGTCTCCCAGGACCCTGCATACACTATAAATCCGGACATCCAGGACCCTGCATTCACTTATCCCGTCTCCCCGGACCCCGTCATCACTATATCCGTCTCCCCGGACCCTGCATTCACTATATCCGGTCTCCCTGACCCTGCATGTCACTATTCCGTCTCCCAGACCCTGCATTCACTATATATCCGTCTCCCAGGACCCTGCATCACTATATCTGGTCTCCCTCGACCCTGCATTCACTATATCTGGTCTCCCCGGAACCCCGCAATTCACTATATCCGGTTCTCCGAGGGACCTGCATTCACATATCTGGTTCCACCCCGACCGGCATTCACTATATCCAGTATTCCCAGTACCCCTGCATTCACTATATCCCGGTCTCCCGGACCCTGCATTTACTATATCCGTCTCGCCAGGACCCTGCATCACTATATCTGGTCTTCCCAGACCCTGCATACACTATATATTCCGTTCTCCCCGGGGGTTATACCCTGCATGTCACATAAATCTGTCTCCCAAAACCCGGCATTCACTATATCCCGGTCTCCCCGGACCCTGCATTCACGATATCAGGGTCTCCCCGGACCCTGCATTCACTATAACTCTGCGTCTCCCCGGACCCCTGCATTCACTATATCCGTCTCCCAGACCCTGCATTCACTATACTTCCGGTCGCCCAGGACCTGCATTCACTATATCTGGTCTCCCGACCCAGCATTCACTATACGGTTTTCTCCCCTGACCCCGCATATCACTATATCCATTCTCCCAGGGCCGCTGCATATCTCACTATATCTGTTTCTCACCCCCGGACCCCTGCATTTCTACATATATCCTGTATCTCCTACCTCGGCTCTGCATCTCACTATATCTCGTTCTCCACCCATGAGACCCTCCATTTACTATATATCCGGTTCTCATCCAGAGCGCCATGCATGTCCTACTATATCTGGTCTCCCCCCCGGACCCTGCCATTACACTATATCTGTTCTCCCCGGAACCCCGCATTCACTATATCCGGTCTCTCCCCTGGACGAACATGTCAATTCACTACATATGTGTTTTCTCCCCGGAACCCTGCATTCACTAATTTATCCGTTATCTCCACCGTACCCTGCATATTCACTATATTTACTGTTTTCTCCCTGAATCCCTGCATTCACTATATCTGGTCTCCCAGGACCCCAGTGTTCAATTTTTCTCCCCCCGTATGTGTGCCACCGGATTTGTTTTTTTAGGTCTCCCCCCCGGCCCCGCATTCACTATATCAGGTCCTCCCCGGACCCTGCATACACTAGATACCCGGGCCCCCCAGAACCCTCATTTACTATACCGGGCTCCCCGGACCCCCCCATTCCCCTATAACTGGGCTCCCCGGACCCTGCATTCCCTATATCAGGGCCCCCCAGAACCCTGCAATTTACTATATCTGGTCTTTTTCCCCACCCCGCATTCACAAAATCCAACCCCCGGGCCCGCATTCAAATAAATCTGGTCTCCCCGGAAACCCCGCAAATTTACTATATCTGGTCCCCCCGAAACCCTGCTTCCAAATAAATCCGTTCCCCCCCGGACCCTCATTTACTAAATCTGGTCTCCCCGACCCTGCATTCCCCTATAAACTTTTCCCCAGAACCCTGCATTAAAATTTTTTTTTCTGGCCTCCCCACCCCCCCCCCCGCATTCAACTATATCTGGTCTCCCAGGGGAAAAACCCGGCCCCCTTCCCCCCCTATAACTGGTCTTCCCCCCCGGACCCCGCAATTTCCCATATCGGTCCCCCCCCACCCCCGCATTCACAAAATCCGGGCTCCCCGGGCCCCCGCATTCACTATATCCGTTTTTCCCAAAGGACCCCGCATTTTACTATATCTGGGCTACCCGACCCTCAATTTACTAATCAGGTCTCCCAGAACCGGGATTTAAATATAAACGGCCTCCCCGGCCCTGCATTCACTATATCTGATCTCCCCCGGAAAACCCCGTATTCACTAAAATCTGGTCTCCCCGGGCCCTGCATTCACAAAATCGGGCCCCCCGAAACCCGCAATTTACTAAAAACCCTTTTTCCCAGGACCCGCATTTACTATACTGGGGCTCCCCCGGGCCTGCATTCACTATATCTTGGGGCTCCCAGAACCCTGCATTCACAATTTTTCGGCCTCCCCCCAACCCTGCATTCCAAATATAACCCTCCCCCCAACCCCATTCACTATAATCTGGTCCCCCCGGGCCCTTCATTCACCCATACTGGCTCCCAGGACCCTGCATTTACTAAAATTTTCCGGGCTCCCCGGGACCCTGCCCTTAACAAACTGGTCTTCCCCCCCGCCCTGCCCTTCGCTATTAAACCGGGCCCCCCAAACCCTGCATTTTCCCCATATCCGGTCCCCCCAACCCCGCATTCCCGGCTCCCCACCCCTTTAAATTTACTAAAATCGGTCTCCCCGGGCCCCCAATTCCCCATAAACTGGTCTCCCCAACCCTGCCATTCACTATATCAGGGCCCCACACAGTAAAAACCCCAACACGGAAAGGCAATTTTTTTAGTAAATAAAACTGCTAAATTTCATTTTTTCAACAAAACATTTTGAGCATCTTTTTACTTTTACAAACCTGATTAAAGCTTGTCGGAAAGGGGTTTT